TTTTTTTTTTTTTTTTTCCGAGACAGGGTTTCTCTGTGGTTTTGGAGCCTGTCCTGGAACTAGCTCTTGTAGACCAGGCTGGTCTCGAACTCACAGAGATCCACCTGCCTCTGCCTCCCAAGTGCTGGGATTAAAGGCATGCGCCACGCCACCACCGCTGGGCTCTACACTCTTTTCTTAAAGGCAAATTATTTTTGACTCCCCTGCCCCCAAGCTAAGGGCCTTGGGCTTGCCAGACAAGCTCTCTACCACTGAGCTAACTCCCGAACCCCTAGACAGTTTTCTTTTTCTTTCTTTTTTTTTTTCCTTTTGCTTTTTTGAGACAGGATTTCTTGGTATAGCTTTAAGCGTGTCCTGGAACTAGCTCTGTAGACCAGGCTATGCTTGGACTCACAGAGATCTGCCTGTGGGCCACCACCACCCAGTCCTACGCAGTTTTCTTAAAAGCCAGATTAAACTGAAACAAGCTGAGTTTACAGTAGGGTAGCAGATCGGCTATAGCTTTAAATGGTCTTAAGGTACACTATTAACTTTCTTTTTTCAAAAAAAAAAACTTCCTACAGCTTACTTAACTTTATTTTATGAGCATTGTCAGATCCCCTGGAGCTGGATCTTCAGACAGTTGTGAGCCATCATGCAAGCAGCTAGGAATTGAACCCGGGTCCTCTGAAAGAGCAGTCAGTGCTCTTAACTGCTGAGCCATCTCCCCAGCCCTGCAAAGTGCAGTGTCTGAGGGCAAGAGGGATTTTTGTAATAAGCTGTTTCCACAACGACTGAAAACAAAACCTTCCCCAAGTCTAGCTTAGTGAGCCAGTGAGACGATTTGGGGTTTCTTAGGACAGTATGCAGAGGAGGTATCTGCAGGAGCAGAGGTGACCCCAAGGCAGCTGCATCATCCAAAAGCCTACCCCAACACAGATGATGCTAACTCAAGAAAACTATCCTGATGCTCTCTTCTCGACTGGCAAGCAGCTTAGCTGGCTGAGCAGTGTCCTCTCCCAGAAATTGTTATTACCTGTATACCTGTGGGGCCTTGTGGATCCTGTAAGGTTTTCTGAGTCTTGCAAGTCTTGACTCTTAAGGGCATCCTTCTTCACCTCTAGGGGGAATGTTCCAACTCAGAGGTGTGTGTGTGTGTGGGGGGGGGAAGATATTACTACACACCAATGGCCAACCTAGTGGGCAGGGCAGGCAGGGCCTTCTCAGGCAGCCAGCCAGGCCTGCTGTGCATATGGTTTTCTGTATAGCCTGCATTCTGTGGTCCATGCGGAGCATGCAGAAGGGGCTTCCTTGCAGTGTTTCGAGTGGCAGGGTCTGTAAGAATCTGGGCATCCTTGGGGCCCTGGGGGAGGTTCAGTATCATGACTGCCTAGCCTGGGATGTTACAGAACAAGGAGAAAGAGTGGATTATATGCACAGGTGTTAATAGGATCACCTGAGCAAAAGTCCTAGGTGAAGAGGTAAGAAAAAGGATGAAATCTAGACCTCAACAGCATGAATGGAAATCCCCTCCCCCCCAAGACAAGGTTTCTCTGTGTAACAGCCCTGTCTGTCCTGGAACTAGCTCTTGTAGACCAGGCTGGCCTCGAATTCAAAAATCAGAAAAGTTATCTATATTGTTCATACTGTTAGAACTCCAGGTCATCAGGGAGGTGGCGTTCCAGAGGGTACAGGAAGTCCTTTGCCAGTCATGTTTTCTGTTTGTTTGAGACAGGATGTCACTATGTAATGAAAGCTCGTCTGCAGCTTAATATTAAACTGGCGCAAACTCAAATAATCCTCCAGTCACAAGCTCCCCGATGCTGGGATTCCAGGTGTGCACCCCCTGCGTGTTCTCTCTCTCTTTAAAAAAAAAAAAGTTTTCTTTTAATTTATTTATTACGTATTTCAGTGTTCTGCCTGCATTTCTACCTACAGGTCAGAGGAAAGCACCAGATCTCATTGCGAATGGTTGCGAGCCACTATGTGGGTTCTGGGAATTGAACTCAGAACCTCTGGAAGAGCAGCCAGTGCTTTTAACTGCTGAGCCATCTCTCCAGGCCCCTGTTTGTTCTCTTTAAGCTGGGCCCTACTCTGAAAATTCATTCAGCCACACGTATACGATATGTGTCTTTTTCATGGTTATCATATTTACATTAAAGTAAAAAAAAAACCTACTGAGGGCTAGGATGTAGTTCAGTGATAGGGCATTTATCTAGCATGTACAGGGCTCTAGCTTCCATCGCAGGCACACCATAGAAAAAAACTCCCCTTCAGGCGCAACACAACAAAACGGAGAAGAACGAAGTTCATGCAAAGTGAAAATATCCATTTTGCACGCCCACATATGACGAACTAGATATATAATCCACCCTGCATAGCTGCATCCAAGTTTGTTAGCAGGCACCGCCAAGGGCGACTCTGGTATTAATGTACCTTCAATGTGCCTTTTTCTTTCTTTTCAGCTAAAACGTCATGGTATAAACTGAGCATGCTCAGAGAAATTCCGGTCTATCTCTTTAAATTTTTAAACAAGCGGTCCATAACCTTAAACTGAGCATGCCTGAGCGTGTACTTCTTAACTGAGCATGCTCGGAAAGTGGCCTCATTTCCGAGCATGCTCAGGAGTGTAGCTACAACTGGGCATGCTCAGAATTGTAAATAGGCCAACCCCTACATGAATATGCATAGGCTTCTTGAATGAGGTCTCCACACTTTCCTTTGTTCGCGGGAGAGCCTTGCTTTTCAGTAATTCCCCTCCCCCAGCTCTTGTTCCCTGCAGTGGGTAATAAATCTTTCTCCCTTTTCAAGCCGAGCTTGTTCGGATTTTGTTTTCTCCACGGTGTGAGCCCTTGGCCTCTGGTTACAGGTTTAACCCGTTGTAGATTAAAAACACTCTGGGGAAAAAAGATTTTATCTCTGAACATTGTTCTTCCCTTAACAGTATAATATAACATCTGTCCACGTCTGCAGTCACCATGCATTCGTATGTCTAGAGGTGAGCCAGTGTCTAGGGGAGGATGGTCACAGGTTATTAGCAAATAACTCGCTATTACCTTTTATTTAATCGTTTACTTATTTATTTAGAGACAGGCATCGCGTACACCTGAGCTTCCTGCATCCACTTCTTAAGTGTGGCGATTACCAGTGTGTACAATCACTTTCAGCACTTGTAGGCTTGGTGCCTCTCAAACTGAGTCCTCTGCTCAGGACACAGAGGGACCAGGGATACAGATTGCCTGTGAGACCTAAGGGATAGCACAGGCCAGCAGTAAAGGGCTTACCTATCATGGGAAAGTCCCACCCAGCACCTCAAAAACAATCACCACCAAACTGGGTGTCGCTCAGTGGTAAAGTGCTTGCCTAGCTGCTCAAGACCTGGGTCTGATTCCCAGCCCTCCCAGTAAATGCCTGTGGGGAGAAAGGCCCGAGGGAGGAGAAAGCAGTGAAGGGTGAAGGTGACTTAAAGCCGCAGCTGGGGACCATGGGGCCACACCTGTAATCTCAGCCCTTGAGAGGCAGAGAGTGAAGGCAAGGAATTGGGATTCAATGTTAGTATTTTTCAAAATAGTGAGTTCAAGGTCAGCCAGGGCTCTACGTGATCCTGTCTCAAAATAAGGAGAGAGCTTTAAGTAGATCAATGCTGCTAATACATCACAGAAGCACAGGGATATGGTTAAATTGAGCTCATCCCTGTTTCAAGCCAAAAAGTTCTTGTGATCCCGCCATTCAGAGGGATCCAATGCAGTACTGATTTCTTTGTTCTATTTGTCTATCGCCCCAGTTTCCAAAGGGTCTGTAACCCCTTACTCAGGCACTCTGACCTTAGAGTTCCGGGGTTACCTCAGGTTGAGCTTGAAGAGGGCCTGCAATTTTTTCCCCTTTGGTTTCTTTGTGTACCTTTATTTTTTTTTTAATTCTTTTCTTTTTTATTATTTTTATTGAGCTCTACATTTTTCTCTGCTCCCCTCCCTACCTCTCCCCTCTCCTTCAACCCTCTCTTAAGGTCCCCATGTTCCCAATTTACTCAGGAGATCTTGTCTTTTTCTACTACCCATGTAGATTAGATCTTTTGTACGTCTCTCTTAGGGTCCTCATTGCTGTCTAGGTTCTCTGGGATTGTGATTTGTGAGCTGGTTTTCTTTGCTTTATGTTTGAAAACCACTTATGAGTGAGTACATGTGATACTTGTCTTTCTGGGTCTGGGTTACCTCACTCAAAATGATGTTTTCTAGATCCATCCATTTGAGGTCCTGCAGTTTAACTTTGCTACTGTGGAGGTTTCTTGGCTCTGCTACCACTGGCTGAGCGGTGACAGGGAAGACTCGCACTGTAAGCCACCAGGTGTTAAAGGAAGACTCGCACTGTAAGCCACCAGGTGTTAAAGAGCATTGCCAATTCTCACACTGTGTTCCTCAGAATGCCCCTGGAGGACTCTTAGAAGTAGAGGCTTTTGTGTCTGCCCCTGAGTTTCTCCTTGAGGAGCCGAGGTGGGGCCTGAGGAGCTGTCACTTATTTTAATTTGCAGTGTGTGTGTGTGTGTCATGTGTGTGCATTCACATGTGTGGACACATGCCTGTGTATTCATGAGTTTGTGTGGTGTGTGTGTGTCATGTGTATGCATTCACGTGTGTGGACACATGTGTAGTGATAGTGAGAGAGAGAGAGACCCGGTACTCACTATGTCACTTAGTGTGCTCTTGAACTTGAGATGGTCCTCTTGTCTCAGCCTTCCCAGTGCTGACTCCAGGAGTGCAGATCCAGGTGACAGTGTCGCGTTCATTCCAGGTGGAAAGTAGGGGAAAGCCGAGGGTATTCTCTATGGTTCAGAGAAAGGCTTACAGAAGTCATTCTTTTGGGTTTTTGTTTGTTTGTTTGTTTTGTTTTGTTTTGTTTCTCAAGACAGGGTTTCTCTGTATAGCCCTGGCTGTCCTGAACTCTGTAGACCAAACTGACCTTGAACTCCAAGATCCACTGACTTCTGCCTCCGGAGTTCTGGGGTTAAAGGTGTGGGCCCCAGCACCTGGTTAATGCTTTTGGTTTTGAATGAGTTTATGAAGTACACAGCAAGCCAAAGTAAAAGAATAAATAGCAAGTGATAGCTGATTGCTTGATTGACAGATAGACAGCAAAATAGCATGAAATTGGGCAATCAAAACATCCAGCAAACCAAGTGTGGTAGTGCATGCCTTTAACTCTGGCACTCAGGAGGCAGGAGCAGGTGGTGGCTCTCTGTGAGTTCTATGCCAGCCTATGCCAGTCTGTTCTACAAAGAGAGTTCCAAGCCAGTCAGAGGTCTACAGTGAGACCCTCCTATAAACAAACAAACCCCAGCTGAAACCAAGGTGCAGCTGGCCGTGCTAGCTCTTGAGGATGCCCTTCCCATGACTTCCTGCTTCTTTCCCACTGCAGGCATTTTCATATCTTGGGCCAAACCTCTGTTGGGAATGTCTTACCCTCTAACTGTCTTCAAGGACATGCTGGTTTTACTCTTGGCTTATTCTCTTTTTTCCCCAACACAGATTTAGGGGGATAGGTTTGCCCTCAGACAAGGGTCTTGGAGGACACTTAATATAACCTTATTTGAGTCTGAAACGGGAGATTCAACTCCACTCCCAGAGCCAGCTCCTCGGGCAGCTCAAACAGTGCCTGACACTCACATTTCCATTGCTGTGATAAGAAGCCATGCACAAGAATGAGTTCAGGGAGACCTTAGAGCTCATGACTTTAATCCTAGCACTGCTGAGGCATTGGCAGCCTGATCTCTGCGAGTTCAAGGTCTATATAGTACGTTTCAGGACAGCGGAGTAAATTTATTCTGGCTGGGAGACCGGGAACTGAGTCTGCCCTCCTTCCCAGGGAGCTAGCTGCCTATGCCCACAGGCTTATTAGACTCTGCCTGCCTCTGTCCCTAGGATTCTTTTGCTCTCTCCTTTCATCTCTGCCCCTTGTCACCTAGCAGCCTCCTTCTCAGCTAGCCCATTCTTTTCCTAAAGATTAGAAAGAGGTTGGGCATGGGGTGCATGCCAGTAACCCCAGCACTTTGGAGGCTGGGGTGAGGAAAGACAAGTTTGAAGCCAGCCTAGACTATATAACTAGTTCCATTCCAGCCAGGGCTACATACATAGTGAGACCTTATCACAAACCAACCAGCCAACCAACCAACCAACCAACCAACCACCCAACCAACCACTGTGGCACATACCTTCAATCCCAGCAGAGCAAGTAAGTCTCTGTGAGTTCAAAGTTGGCCTGGTCCACAACATAGTTCCAGGCCAGCCAGATGTAGACAGTGAAACCCTGACTTGGAAAAAAAAACCCAACTGGATGCAGTGACACACATCTGTAATCCCTAGCCTGAAGCAGCACAGCTACAGAAACATGGGAGATCCTACCTTGGCAAGATGGATGGTTAAAAAAACAAATCCTGCCGGATGGTGGTGGTACACACCTTTAATTCCAGCACTCGGGAGACAGAGGCAGGTGGATCTCAATGTGTTTGAGGCCATGATTTTGAGACCACACCAGTCTGAGCTACACGGTCAGCATTCAGCCAAACGTTTTTTCATGGATAGCCAGTATGGATTAATCTTTGAAGATGAATCTTTTGAAGGAAAGTGAGAAAGCATCACGGGAATCTAGAAAGGTCTAAAGGTACTAAGACTGTCAGGGTTAGTAGAATGTTTGAGTAGCATGCCAGAGCCCCTGGGCTCAAGCCCAGTATCTCATAAACAATAAAATAGTGCACACCTTTAATTCTAGAATTCAAGAGGTAGACACAGGACTATCAGAAGTGCAAGTGCAGAAGATGTTTTGCTATGAGCCCAGCCCTGAGCCCAGACCCTGTCCCCCAAAAAAAACAAAAGAACCAAAAGCCTACACACATGAAAAACAACAATAAAACCAGAACTGCCAAATCAAAGCAAACAGCAGAAAGGCCTAGGAAATGGCGCCCAGTAGGACAGACTGAGAGGTCTGACCTCAGCGAGCACATTGCCACTCAGATAGTCAGTTTCCGGAAGGGCCTGTACTGAGGTTGAGATACGTGTGATCTGGGAGAGCTGAGTGACAAGGCCAGGCCAGTTCACCAGGCCTCAGGAGAGGAAAAGGCCCCAATTAACGGCTTTGTGTTTGGAAGGAGGGGATGGGTAGCACACAGAGCCTTAAACCTTCTGTTAGGGGAGCAGGGAAACTGCCTGGGTTTGGTCCAAGGATTGTCAAGCATAGAGCTGGCTCTCATTAATCAGTAATGAAGTACCTAAGCCAGGCCTTGTGTTTATGGATTTTACCCTAGCAACGTGGGAGCAAAGCAGAGGAACAAACATTTCAGATGCCAGTTCCCTCCCAGCCCCCTGCTTCATGCTGGCTTTTCTCAACAGGCACACTACCTAGATGGGCCCTTACCAGTTGGGTGGAGAGGCTACCATGCCACCCCCTGGGGGGGCTGACTGTCCCTGTGCTCTGTCGGATGCCTGTGTCTCAGGGCCCCTGCTTGTGGGAGCCTTAGTTTGGTGTCCTCAGTCCCCTCGGCTTCCTGATTCAGGCTGGAGGAGTGGAAGTGAGGGCTAGGGAGGGTGACTCTGCTGCCTGCTAGCCCCAAGTTCCCTTTGCTTACAGAAGGAAAATTGCTCAAGGCTCCTGGAAGTCAGCATCCGCAGAGTCCAAGTTGTCCCTCTGCACCCCACTAGCCTGCAGTTATCTGCAGTGGGACATAAGGGAGAGCAGAGTCCCCTGTAAGGAAGGCAACCCCCCAGGAGTAACAGGCAGAGCCCAAGGACTCTCATCTAACCCATTGCCTGGCACCCTCTCGCTTATTTCTTTCCGTGTCTGATCATTTTATGATTACAAGGTTCCATGCTTATTTCCCGACATTCCAGGAATGTGGAAATGTACAATCCGAAATATTGTCTGTGCTTCTGCCATCTGAAAATGACCGCTGCTCTCTCTCGGGATATATACATATATTCTCAATAAGAATTATACTCCTTAATTTTCTTTTTCTTTTCTTTGCGTGTGTATGTGTGCTGAAATTACACTTAGGGCCTCACACATGTTTGGCAAGCATTCTGCCACTGAATTACAGTCACAGTCCTAAATTTTGTCTCTTATTGTGGTAAAAATAAACTTTTATCAAATGTTTAAACTATTTAAAATGTGAAAATTTCCGTTTTAGTTTTTGTGTGTATGGTACTGGGGAGCGAACCCAGTTCTACATTCATGCTAGGCAAGCGCTCTACTGCTGAGCCACACACCCTTCATTTTGGTCTTACTAAATTGCAGGAGTTGGTTTTTAACTTGCTATGTAACCCAGACATTCCTTGAACTTGCAGTTCCCCTGTTTTCCTTTCTCAGCCTCCTGAGTAGTTGCTATTATTAGCTTCTATCACCTTTCTATTGTGGTAGTTTGAAGGAAAATGACCCCAAAGGGAGCAGCACTAGTAGGAGGTGTGGTCTTGTAAGAGTGGGTGTGGTTTTTTTTGAGGAAGTGTATCACTGCAGCGGTGGGCTTTGAAGTCTCCTATGCTCAAGCTACGCCCAGGGAGAAGACCACTTCCTGTTGCCTGCAAGATGTAGAACTCTCAACTCCCTCTTCAGTACTTGTCTGCCTGCATGCTGCCATGTCCCACCATGATGATAATGGACTAGACCTCTGAAAGTGTAAGCCACTACCTGAATTAAATGTTTTCCTTTATAAGAGTTGCCGTGGTCATGGTATCTCTTCACAGCAATAGAAACCCTAATTAAGACATCTGCCTAATCTTTTTTTTTTTACTCAAGCAGTCTTTAATGGAAACTGTATGAGCTGCCACTGCTCCTGCATCTTCTCAATCGTTTCTTCCTTGTATTTTCCCTTCTCCTTTCCTACTTGTCGAGACTTGGCTTTCCTTTCCAGGATCTTCTTTCGGTCTTTGTCCAGCTTTAGCCTGGTGATCACCACCTTGCTGGGGTGGATGCCCACGTGGACAGTTGTGCCATTAGCCTTTTCCTGCTGCACCCGTTCAATGTAGATGACGTATTTCTTCCTGTACACTTGGACCACTTTGCCAATCTGCTGGCCTTTGTAGTGTCCCCGGACAACCTGAACTTTGTCATCCTTTCTAATGGGCATCGAGCGAACATTGTACTTCTGTCTCAGCTCTTTGGAAAGGGGGGAAGACATGATCTTCCTCCGAATGTGAGAAAGTACATTGAAATGCCGTTTGCGGTTCTTGCTCTGGTCAGAAGTCACAAAGGGATTGAACTTCATTTTGGCGGCTGCGATCCAGCGATGGCCGCAAGAGGAAAGAGGTCTATCCTAATCTTTTTTTTTTTTTTTGAGGTCTTTTGTAGTACAAGCTGGCCTCAAACTCTTTATGTAGCTGGAGGCTGATCTTGATCTTGTCCTGCTCCTAATTCCCAAGTGTTGGCCTTACAGGTTACACCACTGTATTGAACTATGAGGTGCTGCAGAGGGAACTCAAAACTTGATGCATGCTAGGCACATGCTCTACCAACTGAACATTTCCAGCCCTTTAAACACTTTATTTTATTTTATTTTATTTTTATTTACTTATTTAGTCTTTTTGAGACAGGGTTTCTCTGTGTAACTGACCTGGCTGCCCTAGAACTAGCTCTGTAGCCCAGGCTGGCCTCAAACTTAGAGAAATATGCCTGCCTCTGCCTTCTGAGCGTTGGGATTAAAGGTGTGCACCACCACTGTCTGGCCATTATTTTATATTTATTTTCATTCATTCTATTTTTTAAGACAATTTCTCACTCTGTAGTACTGGTTGGCCTGGAATTCACTCTACAGACCAGGCTGGCCTCAAACTCATAGAGATCCACCTGCCTTTGTCTCCTGACAGCTGGTATCAAAGGTATGCACCACTACACCTGCCTATTCTATTATTTTTAATTATGTGTACATGTTAAGTATGCATGAGTAAGAGGGGTGCAGGTTTCTGAGGAGACCAGAAGAAGGCATCAAATCCCCTGGAATTGGAGTTATAGGCCATCCTGAGCCACCACCTATGGTTCCAGGGAACCAAATTCAGGTCCTTTGCAAGAGCAGTACATGTTTTAAGAATTGAGCCATCTCTCTAGCTCTGACCCTTTAAATTTTTCTATTTTCATTTATTACTTTATTGTTTTAAATAAATCATTTATACTTATCATGACATGCATGTGGAAGTCATAGAAGTGGCTCTCTCTTTCTACCGTGTAGGTCTCAAGGATCAAACTCAGACAGTCAGGTTTGGTGGATCAAACTCAGTCAGGCTTGGTAGCATCTTGAGCCATCTTGCTAGCCTTCCAGTCTTTTTTTTTTTTTTTTTTTTTTTTTGAGATAGGGTTTGACTGTACAGTCAAGCAGTCAAGACTGGTCTCAAACTGGCTTCATCTTCTCAATGGCTGGAATTGCAGATGTGTGCCACCATGCCTGGTTTATTTTCATAATTTTAAATATATAATTGAGTCGGGCAGTGGTAACACATGTCTTTAATCCCAGCACTTGGGAGGCAGAAGCAGGCAGATCCCTGTGAATTCGAGACCAGCCTGATTTACAAAGTGAGTTCCAAGACAGCTAGGGCTGATACACAGAGAAACCCTGTCTGGAAAAGCCAAAACAAATGAATGAATGAATGAACAGCTGAGCAGTATTAAGTACATTCCCATTGTGCAATCATCACCACCACTTGTCTCTAGATCTCATTATCTTTTCAAATTGATATTTTCTCCATCACTTTCCTTCCTTCTCCATGCCAAATAGCGTTCTCCATTCTCTAGTCTGTCCTATGAAACTGACTATATTATAGGTACCTCATTTAAGACAATATTTGTCTGCAATTTATATCTATGTCATAGCATATTTCAGAATTTCCTTCCTTTTTAAGGCTGGATAATATTCCAGTGTAAGACTATTTCACATTTTGCTGGGTGGTGGTGGGGCACGCCTTTAATCCCAGAACTTGAGAGGCAGAGGCAGGCGGATCTCTGTGAGTTCGAGGCCAGCGTGGTGTACAAGAGCTAGTTCCAGGACAGGCTCCAAAGCTACGGAGAAACCCTGTCTCGAAAAACCAACAAACAGGGCTGGAGAGATGGCTCAGTGGTTAAGAGCATTGCCTGCTCTTCCAAAGGTCCTAGTTCAATTCCCAGCAACCACATGGTGGCTCACAACCATCTGTAATGAGGTCTGGTGTCCTCTTCTGGCCTGCAGGCATACACACAGACAGAATATTGTATACATAATAAATAAATATAAAAACAAACAAACAAAAAAACAACAACAATAACAAAGACTATATCACATTTTGCTCCTCTACTTATCCTCTGATGAATATTTGGCTTGTTTCTACTTATGATAGTTTGGATAAGAATGGCCCACATAGGCTCATATATTTGAATGCTTAGTCACCAGTGAGTGACTCTTCCATAGGATTAAAAGGATTAGGATGTGTAGCCTTGTTGGAGAAAGTGAGTCATTGGGAGTGGGCTTTGAGGTTTTAAAAGCATATACCCAGCCCAGTGTTTCTCTCTCTTAGCCTATAGATCAGGATATAGTACCATGCCTGCCATGGCTGCTGTGATTCTCCCTGCCATAAAAAATGTACAAAGCTCTGAAACTGTAAGCCAATCTTCAATTAAATGCTTTCATATTCCCATTCCCATTCCTCTCCCAACTCCACCCATTCACCCACAATGTCTATTCTATCTCCCCTTCCCAGGAAGATCCATGTATGCCCCCCCCCCCCCGCCAACCCAAGCCCTTCCTGTTACTTGGCTTCTCTGGGTCTGTGGGTTGTAGCATGATTATCCTTTACAGCTAATAATCACTTATAAGTGAGTACATGTTTGTCTTTCTGGGTCTGGCTCATCTCACTTAGGATGATTTTATTTTCTAGTTCCATTCATTTGCCTGCAAATCTCATGGCATTATTTGGGGGGGGGGGGTTGATCAGGTTGGAGAAGGATGGAGGGAGAGAGTACTGAGAGACAACTGGAATTGGGGGAATCTTGGGGAGTATCTAGAAACCTAGTGCAGTGGAAACTCCCAGGAATCTATCAGTGTGATCCTAGCTAAGACTCCTAGCAATAGGGGATACAG